ATATAAGGTGACTAACGGCACCTGACCCAGAGCAAAGTCGTGCACAGAGGCTTAGCTCTTATCCCATGAAATCCTCTCGGTTGTAAGGTGACCTTCCTTCCAGAAAGGTCATCGTGCAAAGCCGCTCAGCTCGCAGGGGCCGGCGGTCGGGGTTTGCGACCAGCGGAGCCGAGCGTGCGCCGTTACCGCATTCCACCCCCCTCCACTCGTCAGTTTCATGGTCACGTCCACGAGGCACCGGACTGGAGTGCATGCCCCCTGTCCCGGCTGAGCACCTCGGAGGGTCACGCTAGCCGGCGTGTGTTGCACCCGGCTGGCAGCCTGGCTCCGACCCAAGGAGTGGCGCGGCCCCAGACCGGACACCGGAGCGGGCTCGGTGTGAACGGGCTGGGCTCGGCTCAAGGTCGAGTTTGAGTGTCACCACCGGTCCGTCAAGCAACCGTCGCGCTTATCTGTGCCGGATGCTGTTCGGACGGGGCGGGGACGTCAAATGTAGAGACGGACACAGGCCGCGTAGGGAGCCAAAGTTGAAAAAACTTGGGTCAACTGTACTAAGGTCACACGAAAATAAATGTTTTCTAGAATATCGAGAGGAGCCATGACCCCGTCCTCTGCTCGGATCCAACATTAATGCTGCTTCCGTTGAGCACTGGGACCTCCAGGGCACAACGAATCGAAGTGACATTGGCCGACATAGGGCTAGGCAGACAGGAACGTCTTAAAAACGATGAGCGTGTGCGCGGAGGGGGCAATGCTAACTATGGAGCCATCATTTCATATGCGCTGCCACCGAGATCATGCTGATCATATTCAAACAGCGGACCCAATGGCCCCGCCCCCGTCTCTACAACTATGTCGACAAAGTTGGGTCTGGTTGGACGCGGAAGCCAACCCACGTCGCTGCCAGCCACGTGCAGCTTTCGAGTCAAGGTTACTTACCAACCGCAGCCGGTTGCCAACCGAAGGCGCATCCTTTTCCGGACCGTCGGGGCGCGCGCGCCGCGTCGGGGAGCGGGCGGCAACGGCGCCGCACGTTGTATAAATGCATGCGTGCTGCAATGCTGTAACCTCGGCAGCCATATCTTGGGAGCCACGGCCGTAAGCGACGGCCCTATGCAAACGACCGTCACGCACCTCCCCATCCCGGATGAGTGTCGCCTGACCTTGGCGATCGCTCCAAAAGGAGACAAAAGTTGCGATCTGTGAGGCCCCGCCAATCCCGGAGAACACCACACAGGGCTCACGGACATCCGCCTGCCGTCCACAAGGGCGTGGGAACCTGCCAAACGTGCCCGGTGACTGATAAGGGAAGGGGGGGGGGGGAGGATTAACTTTAACTGACGAGGGGAGCGTACATGATGTCTTTTATGGCTATGCTGCCCCCGAGTATGGTTTGGACCAGTTCAGGACGTTATCCTCTCATCCCGTAACCGCCCCGTATTCCATACAGAATACAACCCCTCACAAGTCACGGGTGAATCCGGTTTTCGATCGCGCCCGCGGTTTGCCGCTACGTTACCGAGCAATGCTCCGGCGCACGTGCTCACATACCGCGTTCGTCAGTCCCGCCTGCAGACACTGGGCCGGCACCCGTACCGTCACTCCCGACACGTGGCAGAGAGGCGCCCCCTCCCCCACGGCGCTACGCTAGCGCCGCCTGGGAGCGGCTCTCGGAAAAGAATTAAGCCGAAGCCCGACTTGTCGGCGCGCCACGCATTTGTTGACTTTTTGCAACGCAACGCTGCGCTTCATAAGCCCAATCCATACAACAGCGCGCTTCGTTCCTCTGAACTTATACCAAACTCACCGCCTCGGACCGGCGGAAGGAACGTCCGGCGACTCGAGGCCCACCGGGTCCGAGGACAGCGCTGCCGCATCGCGCAGTCGCCACGCGGCCGCCCGGTTCCCACCCACAGACACCGGATACAAGCCCTAGCGTTCAGGCCCCTCTGCAACAACTCACTGTTTTTTTGACGGATAAGACGGCGCGTCGGAGGGGACTTGACCTGCAGTCTGCGTCCCAACACGACCTCGGGTATGTTCCGCCCGCCCACCACCGCCGGGATCCCGTTGCAGGAGTGATGAAGGCAGGCCGCGTTACAGCCGCATCCGGTGTCAGCCTTGGCTCGAACACCGATCTGTCCAGCTCAGACCAGGCTGCCGTGCTTCGCAGGCGGCTCCTTGGCAATGGATTACAGACCATCCTTGACTCGAATCCCAGACAACATGACTCAATCCTTGCGTCAGCGAGAGGCGGAATGTTTGGCAGCTTCGCTAGTCCCCCTGATGTTTCAATTTCGTCGCTCTCGGTGTTACGGACAGCAACGCGACGGCGCAATGATGTACGATAGCCCAATCCTGCGGCCCCAACGTGAAGGCCGTCACGCGTGAGATAGATCGTACATCTCCTGATAAGCGCGGAAAACCTGGATCATACGGTGGCTGAAAAAAAACGTTTTCCGTACATCCAACTGGTTTGGTTCCCATGGTTTGGGCTTGGAATGTTCGCTACACCAACTCGAACCAGGAAAATAGCTTTCGTCGCAGACAGAAGCGACCTGGAAAGGGGCGCACGTCGGCCATTCCCTGACGCACTCAGCGGCACTCACTGGCGCCCTCAGCGGGCACTCACTGGCGCTCTCGGCGGGCACTCATTAGCGCTCTCAGTGGGCACTCACTAGCGCTCTCAGCGGGCACTCACTAGCGCTCTCAGCGGACACTCACTGGCACTCTCAGCGGAACTCCCTGACGCCCTCAGCGGGCGCTCACTGGCGCTCTCAGCGGGCACTCACTAGCGCTCTCAGCGGACATTCATTGGCGCCCTCAGCGGGCACTCCCTGACGCTCTCAATGGGCACTCCCTGTAATCCTCAGCGGGCTCACCATCCGTCGGCCGATCCGAGGAACTCAAGGGGATGAGGCACCCCGTCCCCTTCCGTCCTCACCCACCGCGCTAATCGCTCCCCATGTTGCCAAGGTTGATGTCTCGCAGATAAGCTGGAGCCGGCGCGGTTTCAAGGCCGCCGATGCCATGGGACGGCGCTATCTGCCGCTGAACCGCTGCACGCCCAGCCGGGACGCGCCGCTGTCGCGCCCGCGAGGCGGGGCGAGAAGCGCCGACCTGCAGGTCACGCATCGTCCGAGGCGTGGGAACAGGTCACTAGCCGTCCCCGTCCGCCGGCGGCCTGGTGTCCACCATGGCCAGCGATCACCGACGACCGAAAGGGCGGCCGGCCCTGACCTTGACGGGCGCGCCGGCACCAGTGCGTGCAACGTCCGCGCGCGCCACGCGGGCGCCAGTCACCGCCGCGTCATCAGGAGAGAGCGAGGATAGGGTTCACGCCGCGCCATCAATTACAGGCGCTCGCAATCAGCGCGCGCGATCCACTATGCCGGGCGGCCACGAGGCCGCTGGAGCGGAGAAGTGGTGGGAGATGTGTTTGTGCGAGTGTGTGGTGGGTGGGGGTAGAGGGGCTCATCCTCTCGTGACTTTGAGCGCGTGACGTCCGGTTTGTGGTATGTGCTCATAGAGGGCTTTGATGGCCGGCTCCTCGCGCCGAAACGTAACGTTTATTTACACGTTAGATCTGGACAAGCAACAGAGGATAATATACGAATAAATGTGCTGCGTTTTTCGTTTCGCTGTACTCAATCACGTCAGAAGAGAACCCTGGGGCTCTGCGCATGCGCAAGCACAAGCCCTGGCCGGGCGCCCCTGCCCACCACCAGCCCGGAGGCCTGCCCGTCGCACACCGACGGCTCCTACACGTGCAGCCACCGCAGCACGCGGGGTCAACGGGCCGCAGCCTGCGGAGACCACGGCCACGCAGACCGCGTAGCAGCCGCTTATCCAACCAGCAGTGACGACAATGCCCACGGCAGGGCGCTCGCGTCGTGGTTGCGCGGCCGACCGCCGCTGGCGCGCGGTCGGCTCGCCGGGTCGCCGCGCGGCCGTCTACCGTGTGAGTCCGCTGACGCCCGCAGCCAGGCCCGGGTAGTGCGGCACGGGCGCCGCCTGCGACGCGCCGCCGTCCGCCGGCGGCGCGGGTGGCGCCACCGTCGCAGTCGGGTACGTCGGGTAGCCGGGGATGTACGGAGCCGGTGCGGTGTGCGGCTGCGACGCCGGCGCGGTGGGGGCGCCTGGAACCCACGGCACACGTCAGTGACGAGCGACAGGCGGCACCGGGCCGCGGCGTGACACACAGCCGGGTCAGCGACGGCCACCGTGGCACGTGGATTTCTCACGGCCCGTCGCCGGGCACACACGCGACTGTTTTCAACACACCCGCCGTTTGCAGCGACTCATGGACATCGATACACCTCGGGGGCAGGCGGTCAAAACAGTCAGCCGGCTTCAGAACAGCGGCGGCAGCCAAAGGGCGACGAGCGCACGTCAACGGCGAAGTTGGCCCCCGGGACAGTGGCGGCACCAGCGAAGGCGGCACCAGCGGGGGCGGCGTCTACGTACCATGCACAGCCGGCCCCGGCCGGCGGCGCGGCCGGCGGAGGCGGGGTCGTCTCGGCCCAGGCATGCAGAGAAAGCCACTAAGAGAGGCGCGGAATGGTGCGGCGTGCAGATAGCTAGGCGCTGCGGCGGCGACGGGGTCGCTGGGCGCAAGTGCGCGGCCGCGAGGTGGCGTTAGTGGTTACGGCAGGTGGCGGCGGCGGGGCGGAGGAACAGTTAAGGAGGGGGGGGGGGGGGGATATCAGGCAGATGGCGCCGCTGCCCGCCAGGCCAGGACTGTCGCGCCGTCGGTGGAGAGTGGGAAGAGAGCGGACACAGCATAAATCACAGCACGACCTTCTCCAGACACGCGCACACGGCTGCTTCGAGAGCAGAGCAGTGCTGGTTCCGGATTACACGAGTGCGGCGAGGCACGCCAGCCTCGATCACACCGGACCGGGACGCCGCACCCCCACAGACCGGGAGGTGAGCGGAGACTACCGTCACACCGCACACGCCGCACAAGCCGCCGGACGACGCCGCACACATCACACGCAAGGGCAGATCACGCGGGGCTTCGAGGGTAATTTGCAAACGTGTGAAGCATGTTACACAGTTGGTTGGACGTAAATCAGCGGCATCCACCGGCAGCAAAGCAGATTACAGCACGGCACAGGACGCCCCCGACAAAAGCGGAAGGGGCTATCACTATTCAATACCGCATCATCAGACGGTGCCCAGACCGAAGCAGGGAGACCGAAGCAGGACCTGACGGAACAGGCTGGTCTCCAAGGGAGGAGAAGAGGAAAAGAACAGTGGATAACTGAAGACCAAACCATCTGACAGCGAACTTAGAACGATCTCAGTTCAGCGAATGCCAGCCTGACAGCAGTCAGGTGCAACGGAAAGATGCACGCCCCACATTGCAGAACGCATTGCCATCCGCGGTATACGCACAGGTGATGGTTGAGACCACAGGCAGAATGGCAGACAAAGTAAGAGAATACAACGAAGACAAGAGGTGTAAACTTCTGCTGGGGATCACTGGACGCGAATAGAACGGAAAATACGGATGTATCGACAGTGTCTGCATTTTGGCGACGGCCGCGGCACGAGGAAAAGGTTTCGTTGACGGGGAATTATACCAAAGCATCCCTCCGTGCTTGCGACCGCATTCCACATGTACAAATACTCCACGCAGGTACGCAGAGTCCGTTCATGCTCCTAACGCATGCGCCAGACAGCTCGTGGCAGGGCACAGTGCGTTACTGGTGTCGATGCATGCAAAATGGGCAACCGACCCGGACGGATTGCTCACACAAACCGAGGTGTTCCACAGCTTTCTTCTCGTACATAACAATATACCGAACATACTTTGCGTGAAATTACATTTCTGGTTAACTTCGTTCTCTAATTGAAGAGGGCTGAACTTGGTTCGGCTCACATTCAGTGCTGTGTGGTGATGCTTAGACTACTGCGAACAAATACGCGACCAATTCACGATCAACATCTTATTGTGGAGTCGAAGCTGAAGGCTGGACCGCCTGAACGGCCCATTCAGATGGGCGCATTTATATTTAATGGCATGATCGACACATCATGCCAGTCATGCCAATATCTTCAGGTGATCCACTATGTCTAACCACGGAAACCGTTCAAGCATCTGTACTTTGCTGCTGCCACCCAAACTAGACCAAACTTCTCAGTCAGTCGACACGGTTCTGTCAAATATGTCTCGGGACCATTCATCTTATATATTTATTCAAATTCTGTGCCAAAAGTCACAGCAAGACACCCAAGTCAAACAAAACCGCGCAACACCGGGACTCAAATCAGAAAATACCAACGCTAGCCAACCACGTCCCATTCATTAACTGCCCTAGAAAGCAAAAAACGCCGTTCCCCACGATAAACAAATCCATTATCCAGAGCTGCTGCGATTGTTATCCATTGAAGGCTACCACTTAAAACCATTTGTTCTCATACCACTCGCACAACGTGCCAACAGATTCAGCGGCGACCATCACTACTGCACTTGTTTCCGCGTTTTCATCCACCAGCACTGTCCCACCCCTCGTTCTTCCTCCAGCCACGGGTGCAGGTTCGGGTGCACCAGCCGACACCAGGCTGCCCACAGCTGCTGGTGCATTTACTTGGGGACCAGTGGTGACTCCGGCATCTGATCGCCAGTCGTGCCGGAGCTGCAGCAGCAGACACTGCCCGCCGCATGCTGGGCAGAGCTGACGCCATGCGGCAGCCAGCCGGCCGACGGCAGCGCCACAAGCTGTGATTGCCGGTGACATCTAGCCCGCCCGCTAGATGCCTCTACTCGCCTGTGCTGACGGCGACGGGCGCCGAGGCGAGCGGCGGGGCCGGTGCGGCAGCGCGCGGCGGCGGCAGTGCGCCCGGCGGCAGCACGGCGCTCACTGAAACCCCACCAGCAGCTCGCTTTACCGCCCCGCCCGGCACGGACGCCCTCGGCTTCTCTTCCACTCTAGTCACCGAGGCTACAACGTCAGGCAGAATTAACGTCGTGCGGTCCAGCCATCCAGCTGGGGTTGTATCACTAAACTACTCATACGCACGGCCCGGAATCCATCCGGATCATACAGCGCTTCTGTACCTACTCGCATATCGTTTGGTCCTGGCCAATGTTCATCGTTCATGCCTCTTCCCCGTCCACCCCACCGCTTGGTTAAACCAAGCGCGCAACCTGCTCCATTCCAGTCACACTGCTTCACATCCAATGCCGAATAACTCGCGCGTCTCGAACAAACCCAGTTATAAACGGCGTTATTCATAACTGATAGCTCTTGATGGACGCCGCGAATCCATTACCAGCTGTGGATAGCTGGCACCGATTCCACAGCATCTCCACAGCTGCGAAGCGCACGCTTCTTATCCGATGACGCTAATGTAGCTCTCCCGCTCTCTCTCTCTCTCTCTCTCTCTCTCTCTCTCTCTCTCTCTCTCTCTCTCTCTCTCTCTCTCTCTCTCTCATCTCTCTCTCTCTCTCTCTCTCTCTCTCTCTCTCTCTCTCTCTCTCTCTCTCTCTCTCTCTCTCCTCTCTCTCTCTCTCTCTCTCTCTCTCTCTCTCGTTCTCTCTCTCTCTCCTCTTTTTCTCCATCCCCAGCCACCAGGGGCCCGTCACCGATCAGCAACACAGAAGGCCACAGCGCGATCTCAAGCAGTCTAATCGTACAACACGGGCAGCCCCGGCCACCGGGCCTACTACGTACACTACATCGAAGGGGCCGGGGGACATGCATCACCACCTCGATCTCCGGTCGCACCGGCAGCCGCATGCTCTGAGGACCGCCGTCCAGCGACAGCGGCATGTACCGTCGGGCGGTCGGGGGAGGGCGCACCAACACGGCGTGTTACACAGGGTGACGTGTTAGTCACGAGGTCCCACAGACTGGCAGCACCGCGCGGCGCCGGCGTCGGGGAAGATGTGATTTTGTCCTGAGTTTCAAAGAAGAGCTAGTGACCGCGGGGCGAGTGCTATCGCAGAGTCTAGACACTGTGGATAGCGGACCTCTCCGTGCTGCCACCTGCCCCGGTAGAGCACCGGCACCAGGTGGCGCCACCACCAGCCCCGCCAGGACCCCGGAGCGTATGACCCCCCCCCCCCCCCCCACACACACACTTCAGCACACAGCCCAGGGCGGCTGACAGCGCACCGCCCCATCATGACACCCCGGAGAGGCGCGACACGAGCGCGGGCCGGCGGAGGGGGCGGCCGGCGGCGGCGCGCTCACCTGTCAGCGGCGGCATGCCCGGCAGACTGATGGGCGTGGTGACCGGCATGCCCGAGATGGACGGCAGCGGCGCCGGCGGCGGCACACCTGAAACTGAGCGGCCGACACCGGTCAGCACACAGCTCGCAGGAGGCAGGCATCCATCCTTAACGCCGAACGGCTGCCACCAGTCAGAGACGAGGGAGGGGCGACGCCCCTACCACTGCGTGGGCAGCCAGCACGGGATCACAAAGGGGGGAGGAGAGAGGCACAGATCACATGCGGAGCAACACCAATGCGCCCCCAGTAGCCGGCACAGGCCACGGACCGGCGAGGGGCTCCTGTTCCGTTCCTGCTGCTTAACACGAACGGGTCACCAACAGGTCACGGACAGCGGATGATGCCCTCCCCGCCACTGGGGATCAGACGGAGGCCGGTCGCGGCCATGTTGACCGACCGTGGCGACCACAGCGGCCCACCGCCGCCAGCAGCATCAGCGCTGTTTCGCCGTGTCTGGGCAGCTACCCCGCCACCAGCAGCATCAGCGCTGTTCCGCCGTGTCTGGGCGGCTACCCCGCCACCAGCGGCATCAGCGCTGTTTCGCCGTGTCTGGGCAACTGCCCCGCCACCAGCAGCATCAGCGCTGTTTCGCCGTGTCTGGGCAGCTGCCCCGCCACCAGCAGCATCAGCGCTGTTTCGCCGTGTCTGGGCAGCTGCCCCGCCACCAGCAGCATCAGCGCTGTTTCGCCGTGTCTGGGCAGCTACCCCGCCACCAGCAGCATCAGCGCTGTTTCGCCGTGTCTGGGCAGCTGCCCCGCCACCAGCAGCATCAGCGCTGTTTCGCCGTGTCTGGGCAGCTGCCCCGCCACCAGCAGCATCAGCGCTGTTTCGCCGTGTCTGGGCGGCTACCCCGCCACCAGGGGCATCAGCGCTGTTTCGCCGTGTCTGGGCGGCTACCCCGCCGCCCTACCATCACTGGCGTTACGGGTGAAGTCCGCGCCGTCAAAAAACAGCAGCGCAGCGGCGGGCCACCCACGCCGCCACCCCAGCCACCCCTGAAGCGAACCTCGGCGGGCCACCCACGCAGCCACACGAGAGGTGAACCTAATCGCACGCACGTTCCACTTCGCTGCCTGAAGAACGAAGGCCTACTATTACAACCGGCTTTTCACGATGGCAGCAACATCATTACCTGAACGACCGCACAAATGCGGGGAGCGCGACGTGTTTAGCTCGCCCACTCGCACCGCGACCGGCCAGCCGGCGGCGTCGCGTGCATCGAGTGGGCGGGCGCGGCCTCTGAGCGTGCGTCGGGCGGGCGAGCGCCGCCTCCCGGCGCGCACGGCTCGCGCCAGGCGCTCTCGCCGCTGACGCAAACCACCCGGGCTAGCACCATCGAACTCTGCCGAGGCGTCGCAGCCTCCGGTCACGAACGGAGGGCGGAGGCGGGGGCGTGGAAAACCCAGCCGTCCCCGAGCTGCGTCGCACGGCACGTCTGCCAGGCTCGACCTAGCCGCCGGCGCCGCCAAACGCCGGCGTAGCGCGCGGCGGCGGCCGGGCACCGCCGTCGCTCGCTTTGCGACCGAGCGGTACGGCCATGGACGCGAGCTTATCTACGGAACGCCAAAGACTACTGTGGCCTGATGAGCACTCGGCGGTGACAGTGCAGCTCCTAGCACAGGCATTTTCCCGCCGCTCCGCCGCGACTCGGAGACACCAGCTGACCGGCCGGAGGGGAAGGGTGGGGATGGGGGGGGGGGGCGCACGCGCCGGCCGCCGGCAGCGGTGTGACAGCGTGCCACACGCGGCGATGACGCGAGACGCGCGCGCACACGCCACCTCCAGCGGCGCGCCTGGGGAAGCCCTAATCTGTCGACCGGCCCAGCGTCCGCGGCGTCGTGGGTGTCGGGCACGAGCCGCCCAGACGGCCGCCGCCGACGACACGGCCGGCACTGGCACAAGGACGCCGCCGGCCCTGCAAGACAACGTCGAGGGGGAGGGGTGCTAACGTGCACGATGTCCGGACGTCTCCAAGCTCAGTTAAGCAGATTGTGTGGGCATCGCAAGCCGAAATAGGCACGGTATGTCAGCGAGGAGCCTGAGATTCGGAGGAAGCGCCAACGGGATGTGATTACACCATCATTAGCAGGAGTTGTGAATTCCCGACGGGAACAAGCAACGGGAGGCGAAGGTCTCCGGGTATTTGCGGAGCAGGGTCCGGTAGCGGACCGGTTATGATGTAACGCTACCCGGACCGCAAGGACTACTTCGGAGTATCTAAATCCAGCACCCCGTCACCTTCCTACGCAGAAACACGCGGTTAACACATGACCACGGCGCCTCCTCCAGCCGCTAACCCGGCTGAACAATAGTAATGGGAACGGCCAGGCTGGATGGCCAGACGCGGGGGGCGAGCAGCGGTACCCGTCCGCGCAGGTAACCAGAAACACTTCCCGCCGGCGGTTTCCGCGCCTGATCGTCGACACGAGGCGCACGCGCAGGCGGGCTGGTCCGGCTGGTGCGGCGTGGTACAGCGAGACGAACTGGCTGCACGGGCGCAGCGGTCACAGGTGTCCGCTTCTGACACGTGATGATGACGGCAGCGCCCGTCGAAGCGTGCCGCGCTGCTGATTCAGCGAGGGATAGCGGGGCGATGCCGATCGGAGACGTTGGAGCCTTTCGCTGATTTGCCACGCATCGCACGTTTACCCCGGGCGGAGCGGTCCGCCGCTGGCAGTGCTGACGTCACAGCCACTGGCAGCGCTGGCGAACAGAGGACCAGCCCCACCGAACCCGCCTGGCGGAGGTGAAGCGACATCTGACCAGAGGCTGCCGGGCGTCACCGCAACAACGCCACGCTCCTGGACCACTGGCACCATCCACCTCCGACAGGCCGATGTCCGAGTGTACAGCCTGACCGGCTGCTGAATTCTGGAGAAACAGCGGGGACCACCCGATCCCCCGCAAGACACTGACAAGAGCCTCCAAGACAAGACACCCCTGCAAGACACTGCGCGGGGAATGGGCCCCAGCATGGTCAACGCACCGTCTCAAGTCTATCGTCTTCATTCATAGCGCCGCTCCCTCGTGTGGGATCATCCACGGCCGAGACCTTCACCGCCCGCGGCCCTGCTTACGCGGCTCTCACCCTCCGCCAGCCGGTCAGGTCCGTCTCCAACCCGACACCCGCGCCGTCTCTCCCCCACACGGCGCGCTCCCGTCCCTCTCCGGCGACCTCTCACCTGCGGCGGCGGCGGCGAACGGGTCCGTGGCGCCGGCCGCCGGCGGGGCCGTGAAGAAGCCCGGGTTGAAGGAGGGCACGGCGGCCACGGTCGGCACGGCGCCCATCTGGGCCGGGTGCGGCGGCAGCGGCGGCGGCGCCACGGCAGAGGGTGACAGCGCCGTCACGTCCGTCTGTCAGAGATCAGCCACAGTCAGAGGTAGACGGGGGCCAAACTCGCCGGCAGCTAGCGCTTGACTGTGGTCAGGCCCTAACCCAAGGTGGAGCGGTGGGTGGGGGGCGGGGATGAGGAGCTTTGCGATGGTGGGTGTGGAGTTCGGCTGAGACTGGGATAAGGCGAATGCCAAGCTACATAGGGCACGAGAAAACACAGGCGGTACACGTGCCAGCGAGAGATAACTGGGTAAGATTCAGCTCCCACCTGTTAACACGGCACATGCGATCATGACGGCTATCGGAATGGCGAGCACACAGATCGGAGAAGAGAGCAGGGCACAAACAGGGCTGAGCAACAACGTTGGTCAGCTCCAGAATCCACACATCACATCGGAATCCAGAACATAAAGGGCAAACCAGGCGGGCCCCTATATTTCAAGGTCAAGTGAAGCATTGTGTAATGCCACGTAAGTATTGGTGCTAACGATCACCGCCTCTTCATGGGCTTGCGGAGAAACCTGGGCTGTTTGGACATACCAGTCAGCAAAGGACGCCATCATTCCGAGTCCGCCCGGGCGATGGTATCAGACACACCGCAGGCAGCCTATTTGCGGTCACGGTGCCCGACCACCACACCGCATCATGAGTCAGGCTGTAGCGTACGGCACACCTTCACCGTACCGCACCGCCACGACTCATGAGGCATCACCGAGGCATTCGCCACCACCCCGTCAGCCACTTGGCTAACTAGTGAAAAAACCTCAATGGAGCCAGGCACCCGCCGCTCCGCCCCGCCCCTCTCTCGCGACCTACAATGACCGCTGCACGGACCGCGGGCTGGGCGACGCCGCTGCGGTCGGCCGGCACGCTGCCCGCGCCCGTCGCCAGCAGGGCGAGTCGTCTCCGGCAGCGTGTCCGCGGTCGACCGACGACAGTGGCGCAAGCCGTCTCCAGCGGTGTGCCTGCGGTCGGCCGACACAGTGGCGCGAGCCGTCTCCAGCGGCGTGCCTGCGGTCCATCGACAGCGGCGCGAGCCGTCTCCAGCGCCGTGCCTGCGGTCGGCCGACGACAGCGGCCGGCGACAGTGGCGTGAGCCGTCTCCAGCGGCGTGCCTGCGATCCATCGAAGACGGCGGCGCGAGCCGTCTCCAGCGGCGTGCCTGCGGTCGGCCGACGACAGTGGCGCGAGCCGTCTCCAGCGGCGTGCCTGCGGTCGGCCGACGACAGTGGCGCAAGCCGTCACCAGCGGCGTGCCTGTGGTCGGCCGACGACAGTGGCGCGAGCCGTCACCACAGCGCGCGGCCCGGCGCCGGCGTCATCCGAGCCGACCAGTGCGTCAGCGGATGACGCTCTGGACGCCGCGCGTGCATTCCGTGACCGTGCAAGGCGCGATGAGACGCCCCGTCGGAATTTCCCTCGCGCCGCAGGGCAGGCGGGGAGGGACGGCGGTGCTGATGCGCAGTGTGACGAACGACTGGGGCCGTGTTGAGCGGCGGACCGGGCGCTATCAGTGGCGCAGCAGACTCTGGCGACAGTCGACCCACGTGCGGCGACGACCACTGCCGTAGCTTGGCTCACGGCTGTCGTCGCATTTTCGATGGTCCACCGGGACAACGTACGCGGTGGTGAGGTTGGTCAGGTCGCGTGGACACCCACGGCAATCAAACCATGGGTCCCGAACGCTAGCACATCACTGGTCATGGTCCAACACCACCGCCACTCTCACGTGACGCCAGTCGCCAGTCACGCACCAAACAGTCACCCGCCGTGGCCTGCAGTGACCAACCACCCGCGTCTAAACAGCGCGCCACTGCCGACACCACGGACCGTGACGCAGCGCGCGCCTGGGCGCCCCTCACCTGCGGCTGCGGCGGGCCCGTCACGGCGCCGCTCGTGGCTGCACTGGGTGCCGGCGGCGGTGCCGTCCCACCCTCGGCGGCCGGCGCCGGCGGAGCCGCAGCCGCGGCCGCAGGGGCCGCCGACAGCTGCACCGTCTGCACGTGGCCGGCCACGGCCGCCGCCGGAGCCTGCGGCGGCGGCGCCGACACGATGTTGGGGATACGGTGCAGGTAGCCGTAGCCGATACCGCAGCCCAGGCTGCCGGAGACCAACACACAGTCGGATGGGGTCGGCAGCGAGCAGGGGGAGTGGAGGGGAGGAGAGGGGTGCCGTGACGATCAGGGCGGCGAATCACGCCGAGGGCACAAAGCACGACTCACGGGAAATGCGCACAAGTTTCTCAAAAGGCGTGGGACACAGCAAAAGCACGCGCGTTCACATGTGCAAGTTGGTATGCGGGTAGATCAGGGGTGCACGAATGACCACTTGACATTCGCTTAACCAAAATCGCCTAGACTCTTCACAAGCCAACAACAACAGGCCAACACCTTTCGTTTTGCCCGCCGGACCAGAGCGCAGCTGCACTACGGACGAACTGTAAGGACCAGACCGCAGCCTGGTGTGTACGCTAGTTGCTAACAAAAAAAGAAGAAAAAAAGAAGGCTAATGACTGTCATTTACCGGCGTGCTTACTCTATGTCTACCTTTAACCTGGTGTGGGAGGCAGTCCGCTCCCCGCCGCATGCATGCCAGCTGCTCCGGGAAAGCACTACGGGCTGCCACCCCATTCACAGGATTCATCGCGTGAGCTTGTATACTGGTTTCCAGAGTGGTAGTGCCCTGTCCTGGGCTTGCCTCCCTTTCCACCACTCGCTTTGCCGCCCGGGCGCCTGGTCACAGTGACGACCCTGACCCCGTACCGACCTGCCCTCGCCGCCCGGTCACAGTGACGACCCTGACCCCGTACCGACCTGCCCTCGCCGCCCAGGCGCCCGGTCACAGTGACGAGCCTGACCCCGTACCGACCTGCCCTCGCCGCCCAGGCGCCCGGTCACAGTGACGAGCCTGACCCCGTACCGACCTGCCCTCGCCGCCCGGTCACAGTGACGACCCTGACCCCGTACCGACCTGCCCTCGCCGCCCAGGCGCCCGGTCACAGTGACGAGCCTGACCCCGTACCGACCTGCCCTCGCCACTCGGTCAGTGACGAGCCTGACCCCGCACCGACCTGCCCTCGCCGCCCGAGCGCCCGGTCACAGTGACGAGCCTGACCCAGTACCGACCTGCCCTCGCCTCCCAGGTCACAGTGACGACCCTGACCCCGTACCGACCTGCCCTCGCCGCCAGGTCACAGTGACGACCCTGACCCCGTACCGACCTGCCCTCGTCGCCCAGGCGCCCGGTCACAGTGACGAGCCTGACCCCCGCACCGACCTGCCCTCGCCGCCCCACTGGCTGTTGGGCGTGATGGTGACCTCGCGGCAGGCGTCCAGGCCCGAGTTGTAGACAAACAGCTTTAGCGGCTTGGTTTCGTGCGTCTCGATCAGCTGGAACAGGTCCTCCGACTCGTGCAGCACTGAGTCGGCTCCGATGATGTAGTCGGTGTGCGCGTGCAGGCCCGCCAGCTCGGCCGGCGAGTTCGGCTCCACGTCCTGATCCACAGCGAGGGGGACGGGGGTCAGGGGACGGGTGGCGCAGGTTCTACACGTGTAGTCCCCGCGTCCAGCGCCGGTAAGGTGGGGTCGATACCGCCGCTGGTCAGCCGTCTACACACGGGGGGGGGGGGAGGGGGCGAAGGTTCTACACGTGTGATCCTGGCATACAGCGGGACGAGATGAGGTCAACACCGCCGCTGATCAGCCGTCTACAAAGGGGGGGGGGGAGGGGGGGGGCGGAGGTTCTACACATGTGATCCTGGCATACAGCGGGACGAGATGAGGTCGACGCCGCCGCTGGTCAGCCGTCTACAAAGGGGGGGGGGGGGAAGGGGCGGAGGTTCTACACGTGTGATCCTGGCATACAGCGGGACGAGATGAGGTCAACACCGCCGCAGATCAGCCGTCTACAAAGGGGGGGGGGAGGGGAAGGGGCGGAGGTTCCACACGTGTGATCCTGGCATACAGCGGGACGAGATGAGGTCGACGCCGCCGCTGGTCAGCCGTCCACACACGACGTGCCGCGCCACGCGGCCGCCCCGCGATGACCGCCAGTTAGCTTCGGCTCCGTGCGTCTATGTTATGGACGTAAGAAGCGCCATGTCCGACGGCATCGCAAGATCCAGGTCAAACTGGTCCACTGAAAAACGCTTGTTATTGACCTGAGATCTGCTGAGATCATATGGTGCCGATGCCAGCTTTGGGTCATTTGCGATGTGCACAAATTACCGCGAATCCGGTGAACACGAGCAAAGACGACAGCTGGCCCCTGTCAAGCAAACCTTGCTGCCGGAATATCACACGTAATACATCATGTGACGTAAATGCTTAAGTAACGAGGGCACATCGTGAAAACTGATGCAACCGAACTTCGCGGACCAGAGCAGGTCAGCTGGCGCGCGACGGATAAGGGGAGGCACCGGGGGCCCGTACCCACCAGGCATCAGACTATCCCTGGCGGCGCGGGAGGCCGGCACGCAGCCTGCGCACGGCTGCGCCCTCCCGCCTGGGCACTGGCCAGCTAGCAGGGATCCACACTGGCTCGCGCCGCGCACCACGAGGTGTGCGAGTCATCACCCTTTGCGAGCGGGGGAGCCACTCCCTCGTGAAGAGGGTGTCACGGCTGGGCCAGGATGGCACGCTGGTAGCGCTAGAGCGCGCGCCGGCGCCTCGGATGTACGCCTCGTGGAGGCGCCAGCCAGCTGGTGGCCGAGCACAGCGGCCCAGCTGGGCAACAGAGAGCGAGCCGAGCTCGAGGCGCAGCCCGCCACACCACACTACGTATTCGCTAGTTCGGGGGCGCCAGACCGGAACAGCTCCTGACCGCTGACAGTTCACGTGACACCACTTCCGGATCAGTCCACGACCGATTCACTCACGCAGCACCACACCACCATCGGCTACGCGCCACACGCATTCGGAGCCCGTGAAAACACGTGTCGCGCATTACCTGTGGCTAACCGTCAGCTGATGTCCGGCCCGGGCGACACCATCCGACCTCAAGTGTACATGTGATGCACCCACAGCGCGCAGTACTATACAAGCAGTACACTCGGCGCTACGTCAAAATCGAGCTGGTTTCACGTGCACCAACAAACGTCCGCATCCATTTAAGGACAATATCTCCACCGACCCGAGGGCCGCGGAGGACGACGGCACGCAACGCCGCATCGCCACCTGGTCCATATCCGCCAACGGTTACAAGGAAAAGTGGCAGCGCATCACGCCAATCCCATCAGGGCTCGTGAATCCCTACATGCGGTCATAACGTAATTTCTTAAGCTACTTGAGCTCCCGGAACGACCGCAGACATTGACGCCGAATGTTGGCATGACGGCTGCAGGTTGTATCTATTCCGCTTCCCGGATCAGCGGCGCGGATTTCTCTCTGACGCCAGCCCGATTGACATCTGGCTCAGGTTTTCTCTCTGACGTAAAAAAGCCCCGTTGGAACATGATCAGGGGTGGGGTTTCACGCGCTATAAAGTCCTCCGCAGCAAGGGAGACCGGTGCCGGTTCAGTAAAAGCCGGCAGGGAGACCGATGGCACGCATTTTAGCCGGGCGTCCGGACGCAGAATATTCCCATGCAGATTCCGTACATATTATACACACACATATATATATATATATATATATATATATATATAAACCTAGATAAACCTATCAAGCCTACCAACCTATGATATATATAAACCTATCCGATTCAAAATGACGGCTGACTCAGCACTGCGACCATTTTTACCCGTCGTTCTAGTTTCCGGGCTTGACGTAGCATTATCCTTTAGATCAAAAGATGGGTCGTACAGAGTCTATCCGATATTTGTCAATCTTTACTTTCTTACGTTTCGAGATCTTGCCTCATCGTCAGAGAAGCATAAATGGCACAATAAATAAATTTTTAGTTTTAAAGGATAAAAATTGTGCACTTTTCTTGGAAAACATCTCTTGGTACGGAGAAGACAAATAAAACATGGCCAATTGAAGTAAGACAGAATCCTATTGTACTTTAATACATGTAAAACACACCCATAATGGGAACCTGAGTTATCATGTAAGTAGTTTGCTCCTGTCATTTTCACGCATTTTCGTGCTCTCTCCATAAGACCGGACATTTACTGTCACTATGTAGGTGATATCTTTGTGGAGGTTAGGGAGAATGACGAACTAAAACATCTCAAAAACACCTTTGAAGAGCAGTCCGGTTTAAAATTTGCAAAAGAACGGAGTGTGCAAAACATAATACCCTTACTGACGTGACTGTCGATGGACAAGGACAGCGATTTAAAACGACTGTGTACCGAAAGCAGACTTACAACGGATGGTGCTCAAATGCTGACAGTGAGCGTCCTCGACGCTACAAAATTAGCATCATAAGGCCATTTTTAGACGTGCATTTAAGCATTGCTTCGATTGGACAGAGCTGTATTCGGAAAGGGTACGAATCAGACAGGTCCTGGTGGTGAACAACGGTTTTTCAAATTCTGGCGTTGAAAACGAAACACAACGAACACATGAAAAGACACTTTGACAGCAAGCCAAGACAAGACAAACAACCAAACAGCCAACTGAATTATCAAAATCAAATGACATCTGCCCGCAAACAAGACGCAGGAGCTCTACGGGAAATCATTTCTGGACTTGTAAAAGACAAGAACAACCACAAAATAGACATTGTCATTTATTATTGCAATGACAAAATCTTCAACTTTGTTGTGAGAAACAGCCCGGACAAACCCGACAAACTAAAATGCACCAATGTAGTGTATCAATTCAAATGCAACATCAAAGGCCACAAACTTCGTTCCATACACTACACTGATATGACCACAACGACACTCTCGCGACGTCTGACAATGCACTTACGTGACGGGGCACCTCCGGACCACATGCGACACGAACGTCACGAGACACTGACACAACAACTGACAGAGGACACCGACGTATTACAGACGTGCAATGACAGAAGACGTCTTCAAATTTGGGAAAGTGCATTTATTACCGAACTCTCTCCATCCCTTCACAGACAAACAAATTCTTGTACAAACCTTTAATTACTAGGCGGTGGGCGGTGAGCACTATTATTGTATATATTGAGTGTATATTATCATATTGACGTGATTGTAGTGCGTTCGTGTCTTAGTAGTCTTCCCATTATGGGTGTATTTTATATGTATGTTATATGGATTCTGCCTTACTTCATTTGGCCATGTTTCATTTGTCTTCTCCGTACCAAAAGGTGTTTTCCAATAGCTGAGTACAATTTTCATCCCTTGAAACTAAAAACTTATTTCCTGTGCCATTCAGTCTTCTCCGACGATGAGACAAAATCTCGAATTGTACGAATGTAAAGACTGACGAATATCTGATAGATGCTGTACGAGCCATCTTTAACTAAAGGGCAATGCTACATCAAATGCCCGGAAACTAAAGCGATGGTTGAAAACGCTCGTCAGTGCCGAGTCAGCGGTCATTTTTAGTCGAAAAGGCATAACAGAAATTGTTCTTAAAAGATATACCGATATATATATATATATATATATATATATATATATATATATATATATATATATATGAATAAAAGCACTCTACGCCAGTTTTGGACAGCATTAACGGTTAACTTGGCCGTCCATGAGGTCCAGACGATAAGCTCGGGTATTTGGTGCGGCGGTCCTAGCTGGGCGCGTCCCGACCGCCCCGGTCACTTCGGCTCCGTCGACAGCGCAGCGGACACCGGCCTGCTGCTGGAGCAGCGGGACGAACCACGGGGCAGCAGCAGCAGAACACCAGCACCGGCAGGAACCGGCAGCAGCCAGCGGCGGACGGGCGAGGTTCGCAGACGGCTCCAGCAGAGCGCGGCCGCGCAGCCCCGGCCGCCACCGCACCGTGCACGCGGTCACGGCCACCAGGGATGTGCATTGTCGAAACGTATTTCGGAAGGAAATGGTACCCCACGACTTTCGGGCCATGTTTCGCACAAAATGACATGGTATGGATCCGTGGTAAATCTCACCGGGCGGGGCCCAAGAACTGTCTGTTAAACGCATCAAAAGTCCGCTGCAGAGGCAGATGGCCGACCGCCTCAGCCCTGCGCCAGGCACGGCGCCCTGACCCAGCCGGCGCCGCACCTGGCGCGCCCAGCTGACCTGGTGTGTCCGGGCCCGTCCAGGAGCACCTCAGGCGGCGGCCCGCCCGCCTGCTGCAGCCCAGCTGACCCGACATCCCGGGACCGTCTGTCCCCGAGCACCTCGGGCGGCGGCCTCGCCAGCCTGCTGCAGCCCAGCTGACCCGACATCCCGGGACCGTCTGTCCCTGAGCACCCCGGGCGGCGGCCCCGCCCGCCTGCTGCAGCCCAGCTGACCCGACATCCCGGGACCGTCTGTCCCTGAGCACCTCGGGCGGCGGCCCCGCCCGCCTGCTGCAGCCCGGACGCAGACGTGCGCCCCAGGACTGCGGCGGCCGCCGAGATCAGCCGATTATACGGCCAGGGACAGGACCAG